CTCGCCCCTCCCCCGCCCCTCCCGGCCTGATCGGCGTGCGCCTGCGCACGGGAGGTCGGAGGAGTCTTACCCTAATGTAAGATGGTGGCCCGTCTGGCTGTGGAACCCACCGAAAGCTGAGAGTCTCTCTCTCTCAGCGGTAAAGGTCGGACTCGCTGAAGCAATCAGGTCCGGTTCTGAAGAGGTTTTTCCCCGACGCTCGCTCAGTGGTCTCTTGTGAGGACGCGGCAGCGCGTGGAGTCGGCTAAGGGAAAAGCGAGGCAAGGCAGGAGGGTGAGTCTCTGCGGGGCTGGGCTTAGGGGAAACCCGGGGCTGACCGGCTACGAGAGAGCGGAGGCTTCGCGGGGACTGTGCAGGCCGCACCCCCCTTTCTCCCCACCCCCCGCCTCATCTTCACCCTCCTCCTCCTTGGTCTTCCTCCTCCTCCTCTAACTCCCTCTCCCCTCTACGCCACAGCAGTTAGCACCAGGAAAAGGGAGCGGGGCGGACGGCAGCGCGGCGGCGAGACCGACTCCTTCAGAATTTCTTCAATTGGGGAGGCGAGGCGGCTTCTTGTCTTCATCCCTCCCCGCTACGTTTTTGTAGGGGCAGGAATTTTAGGTCTCAGTCCTCCTTGTTTTCCCAGCCCTCTTTCCCTCTCTGACGTCCTTTCCCGGTGGCCCCCGCCTCCCAGGACCAAAGCCATCACTTCCACTCCGACCTGTGTTGTTGCTGCTCATTAATCCCACTGCTCATTGCCCACTCGTCTTGCTGCCTGGTTTTTGCTCCACTGCTACCATTCTGGAGTTAGCCTTTGCCCCCCTTTTGGGCTTGCAGTCAGCCCCTAGTCTATCCGCCACCCTCGAGCTTTTTCCGATTTGCAGGCTTTCCTTTAACCACATCTGTCATTTTCAAGCTGCCCCTGAAGTATGTAGATCATGCTGCTGGTCATTCTGACCCACCTGTTTCACAGCTTTTTGGGAGTTGTCCGTTCCTTCCCTCTTTTCTATACAGATTCCTTAAACATGCACTTCCAGAAAAAAGGATGCCCCGTGTTGGCCCCTGAAAAGTCAAGGAAGTTGGGGAGTGAATGAAGTGAGGTAGGATACTATTAAACGTTCTGAGTGAAGATCGTTTATTCAGGCTGCTCAGGAGAGGAACGTTTTCGTTTTGCTTTCCGTGATCTATTTGTGGATTATTCGCTCTGTTGGGACGTGGCGTTTTTTTTCCTTCTCATTTTGGACCAGTTTCTCCATGCTACTAAGCGTTCTTCTGAATTGCCTCTCCCCAGGACACTTAATGTGGGCTCTGATTATACCAACAAATATTAGTCTAGGCATTTCAAAATAAGGTAAATCTGGCACACAACCAAATTCATCTGTGAACCCCACAAGCAAATAGGAGTGATATTTTGATTATCTGCAGGTTATATGTGGGTTACAGATCCCTTCCATGTTGAGAATTGATTATTGACTAAGTGAGTTGTATAGATGTTCAGCTTAATTGATGACATTTTATTTATGGTTTGAGTGGAAATTTCCTCTCCAGCTAATATCAGACTTAGTATTTTTGGATTTGGGAAGTTCTCTCTTTTAACATTTCTAGGATGGTAAGTATCTGAATACATTGTCTTCTCTTGAAAACCCATTAGGTATGTATGCAAAAGAAAAAATCGATTTTTTTTTTCCAAAATTAAATTCTTCATTTTTTCCAGAGAGGAAGGAGGCTGGGAAAAGAAATGACAAAGCTGTGTACATACATGCATTTGGTGGCACTCACTGTCATTATTATCTACATTAAAAAGCAGACAACTAGAAGCAAGAGGTGGCTTAGTATGTCCGTGTTTTGGCGAAAGCTAAATTGAAATGTACTGACTAATGGCATAATGGGAAGAAGGAGCCTTTGCTATAATCAGACCACTGTGAAATAATTACCGGAAAAGCATTGATCAGATACATACGTCTCAAGTTAAAACATAAATAAGACATGGGGTTCTTAAAATACATGTAAAAATGTTAAAAGTCATAGTAGCAGTCTTATGCCACAATATTCCTCTTATTTGCAAAAGTAATAATATCTCTAGTGTAAATACAAATCCCTTTTAATCACTTTTGCACATTACAGTATTGTGATTTTTACAGATTTTACCTGCAATACTTGAGGAATGTTACATTTGGCATTATATTTACTTGACTGTGATAAATGGTTTGTTTTATCAAATATAAACCGAGGTTAGAAAAGCTATTTAGAAAACTTTTTTCCTTTCAACCACTTAAGTCTTAATTTGGGAAAACTAAATAAATCTCTACTCTTCTGAGATTTGGAAGCAATTTATATAGCAAACCTTGTCCTAAGTTATGACTTAAGATTTAAGAAAAATATTACTTATGTTTAGTTTATCAGTAGGAACATATTTAATACAACTAATCTTCAACTCTAAGTAAAAAATGATTTCATTTTTTTTGTAATACGCCGGTAGAGAAGCTTTCCACTTTGAACAAGCCTAACACAGGTTTAGAAACCTTGGCAGTCATACTTGGCTGAATTGTAAGCAGTATGTTCTCGGAGAGGACTGTTTATCTGGCAGAAGAGAATAAATGATTTTAATACATCTTTCCTTTTGTAAAGATATTTTGCCTCAATAAATATATTCTCAAGTAATTTTCTCCATGCCATACTTTTTTCCTGCAGTCATCAGATTCTTAGTGTCAGCACTCTGAAGTCAAAATAAATTTACTTTGGGGTCTTTAGCACATCTAAAGAAAATAGCTCAAGTTCTTTGGCATTTTGATAGGAAATAGGGAGCTGAGATGTCAAAATATTTTTGTATAGTTTAGGTTTTTAGATGTAACATTATGAACATTGCAGCTTCATAATCATGGTTTTTTTTTTTTTTTTTTGATAGCTTGGAATACTTTCTGCCAGGTTCAATAATTGAATTCTTCAGATGAATAGATCATTTCTGTAGGAAGGTGTTTGAACGTGAACTACTTAAAGTTGATTATAAAATTTGTTTTCATAAAGTTGCATAGACAAATTTTTAATTTTGTTAGGATAAGACAATTATATAAAATGGCAAAATGTAGGAAAATTGTTTTGTGAGGCCCTTCAACTTCAGTCTAAATGGGAGCAGTAGTGATAACTTGCAGCTCATTACTTTGTACAAAAAGAGGGCGTTGCTTAAGGATGAACTCCTTAGGGGAGTGTTATTTTAAAAATGATTTTACATGTCTTTTAAGAGAATGAAAAAATATCTTCTCAGTTTAAGTAGTATGATTTTAGAAGTCTTCTATTTCTCTCCTTCTCTACTCCTGGTTTTAAGGTGAAGCTACACTCTTTATTTTGATTTTTTTTTTTTTTTGCTGCCTGCAAGTAATATTTGATTGAATCTGTTTCAACTCAATGTTACTATTTTTGTAGACCATTCAAGTGAAGTATAAAGTTTTAAATATTTATTTATTTAGTGTGTGTGTGTGCGCGCGTGTGCGTGCTTGAGGAAGATCAGCCCTGAGCTAACATCCATGCCTCCTCTTTTTGCTGAGGGAAGACTGGCCCTGAACTAACATCCATGCCCATCTTCCTCCAGATCTTCCTCCACTTTATATGGGACGCCGCCACAGCATGGCCTGACAAGTGGTGTGTCAGTGCCAGCCCGGGATCCGGGCCTGGGCCGCCAGCAGCGAAGCGCGCACACTTAACCACTACACCACAGGGCTGGCCCCTAGAAAGTTTTAATTTGTGAAAACTTCAGCCTCTGCTGACAATTCAGTTAGCTTTCTGTCATTAGGTGTAGTACTCTCTTGACTTTTTGTGAAGGAAGTTGGTTCGAAAGAAAAACAGTAGGGAAATAGGTTATAGAGATTTTTTGTGTTCTAGAAATAGTATAACTAGAATGTACTACATACTTTTCTCAAAGGATTTCTTAATCTAAGTGGAACTTGTAAATGGTTTTCATCCCACTGGAATAGCATGTATTGTATAAAACTTGTTAACACATTCTGAGATTTTTAAAAATTTTTTGTTACCTCAGAGATACTAGGAAAAAAATCTGCAAATTCTGCAGATCTGCCTATTATTATGCAAAATGTGGCAATATCCCTGATGTTTTAAAGATAGTAATATGTATTTTTTTCTCAAAAGTTGAGAGAAGACAAATTTTAAAGATGGCATCATTTTCTCAATTATTTAGTAATGGAAGGAAAGAAGATAAGTGGGACTTTTTAATCACATATTTAGTGGTTTTCTGAAAGCACTTTTTTCAGAATTGTTTTTAATCTCATTATTATGTATTCTTCTTTATTAGTATAGTGTTGGTATAGTGTAGTGTTCCTTTTTTTTTTTTTAATTTTTATTTATTTATTTTTTTCCCCCAAAACCCCAGTAGATAGTTGTATGTCATAGTTGCACAGCCTTCTAGTTGCTGTATGTGGGACGCGGCCTCAGCATGGCCAGAGAAGTGGTGTGTCGGTGCGCGCCCGGGATCCGAACCCGGGCCGCCAGCAGTGGAGCGTGTGCACTTAACCACTAAGCCACGGGGCTGGCCCTAGTATAGTGTTCTTTATTGGTATATTGTGTAGTAAATGTCAACTTTTTCAAGTGTAGTAATCCAGTGGGTTTTGTCACATTTCTTTTTCATAGTATCATCCTTTTATTTTTCATCCTTTTTATTTTTCAAAGAATAGTATCATCCTTTCAATCAGAAAGTAGTTTATAGAAGAGAAAATTTCAACACTCTTTTGGCCCCTTAGATAGCTTTCCCATAGCGGAATTTTTCTTTTACCAAAAGAGAGAAATTACATGCTATCAAAAAGAAGATGATTACTTATACTTGCTAGGAAAACTTAACTTTAGAGATAGTACGAGTACAAGGCAATTTGAATGTGAGTTTAGTTTTCTCCTGAGGAGTTTGTGAGGATGGTTTCATTCCTCCTAAACTCTGTTTATATAAGAGAGTTGTCCTGTTTTAAACTCTAATTGCGTTGGCTGGTGGGCAGATGATATATAGCTATGAGGGTAAACCTTGCTCTTTGTATATGTGTGTGTGTCAGATATCTGTTCAAAATCAAATACTTTTTTTAGTTATGGTAACTAAAATCTTGCCTCTCGATTATTTAGAGAAAATATGGAGAAGGGGAAATCAAAATATTCGGATTGGTTTGTATATATGCCTAAAACCAGTTTGGAAAAAAAAGAAAAAGTCAGGGCAAAAATGCAGTGTAATTAGGAGAATAAAATGCCAACATTTAAAGAAAGTAGGTGTTGTATTACTGCTTTTGGAAGGAATTAGTGAATGA